TTTTTTTTTTTTTTTTTTTTTTTTTTTTGTTGGGGGGGGGGGGGGGGGGGGTAAAGCAACGGATGCTGTTTGTCTTGCTTCTTTATTGGAAGAGAGAACGTGAAAATTCTGTGCTGCTGGAAACCCTAGTGCTGCTGCCCTTCCTTCCACAAAATAGCAGAAACTGGTGAAAGTTAGAAATCATGCACAATCAGGTCAGTTTTCCACAATCAGAATAAGATTAAGTGTTTACATGCACAAATGCATAAACCACCCCTCTCATTCGGATTACAAATTCATTTGGATCGAGCTGAATCGGATCATAATATTCCCATTGGGGCGTTTACGTGACATATTTTTATTCCAAATGGCCGTTGTATCTGATTACTTATGTCCATGTGAACATAGCTACTGTGGATCTCTGTAGTTTTAAATATCTTCTAAACATTTTCAAAGTACAGACAGTTGAATATGATGCTTTCTTTGCTCAGACTCAATCATTTTTACACATAAACTACATGATATATTTTCATTTACACAGACTGAATACAGAAAAATAATCATTAATTTGTTAAAATGCTTAGTAGGAAGAAATCTGTTTAAWACAACAGAAGTACATGGTACTATCATAACTATTCAAACCTGCTACAACCTGACATTTTCCAGCAACTCTTCAAAATGACGGAAATGTACACGAAAAGAAGCCATGAGGCAAAAATTACAGAATTTCCGCCCCGAGTTCTTGTGCCACACCATGTTTTGAGCAACATATCAAAAACCACAACAGCATGTGAAAGACTATGATCAATACAAAAATGTTCTCACAATCATCCAAGAGTGTTAACAATACTTTAATAGTTATATTGATCATGTTGTACAATCTCTGTATCAACATTAAATTACTTGAAAACCACCAGACTGGAGGTTCTATGGCTCCAGTCTCAATATGGGACCAAATAAAAAAATAAGACTGTGTGATGTTCGGAGGATGGGGAGTGAGAGGGATCTCACCGCAGCACATCCTGACTCAGATTTAGATTAGAAAATATAAAATAAAATAAACTGCAGCTATGTAATGATGCCAACGTCAGGATTTCATCTGCTGCGTTCACACTTCAGCAGTTGGTYCCCAGGCCAGTCCAGTGGTCCGGCACCATCAGGAAGTATTTATCCATGGCCTCGCAGAAGCGGGACCTGTACAGCTCTGGAGAAACCACAGTGGGCATCTTCCCTGCAGGTGAACACAGTGACAAATAGATCAGAACAGCAACAATAAAAGAACTGAAATCAGACTTCAGTTTTGGATCAGCCAGAAACAACAGATTCAAACTGTTTTTTTAAGTGTGCAAAAATATCTTAATCTGTTAGCACTGTTAATTTCAGCTACCACCACACCCATTTTTAGGTAAATATCTTTGTTAGAGTTTTTGCTAAGGTAGACGAGGCTGCCATCTTGAATTCTACTAAAGACAAGAGCGAACATCACAGTGCAGTGTATGTATTGTGTGAGTACATGGTTCAGTTCAGGACACGTTAAAGGGACATTCAGGTGATTTTGAAGTGATATCTAAGTTATCCATAGTTTGTCAGAAAGGAAGGTGAGGTCATCACATTATTTTTTTATTCTTCATTCTTTATTGTTTTTTATGCTTATACAAGTCTTTCTAAACAAAACGAGGCATAAATATGAAATAAATGATATATTGATCAGACGTGCTGATGAGGTGSAACGGCACTGTGGGAATAAATACTGATCTTTTAAACTTGCTACTTAAACAGCTCAGAGGTCACTTTGTTGCAAAGATTAGAGGGAGAATTCAGCTTTTTTCTCACAACTGCCCCTGTCGGAGCCCGGGGTGATACAACATTAAGTTCAAAGTTTACAAACTGGTTCCTCTACAACACCGTATGGGAGTATAGGGTGTGGTTCTGTAGGAGCTTTTCCATGGTTCCATTTCTACTGTCACCTCAAGAAGACTGAGACAAAAATAATTAAAAAACAAACAAACAAACAAACAAAAAACTGGGTTCCCACACCTTGGTCAACATCAAATTTAAGGACCTTTCAAGGACTTTCCAGTACCAATTTCCTGAAATTCAGCGACCACGCATGACAACAATTATCTACTGCCATTGGGAGTACCGGGACTTTTCCCGGTGAGCCGGTGTGCAGGTAGCGAGAAAAAAAATTAATCTTGTGTAGTTGTACACACACACACATACACACACACACACACACACACACACA